TTCGGGGCCACTTGTCATGAAGTACTATAATCACGTAGATCTCATTTTCCCGCTGATAAACTAGGAGCTCTGTGAGGGCAAGGACTTTGCCTTGCTTACTGCTGTGTCCCTCGGAACTGGTCTCAGCAGTAAGCACCGATAAATAATTGTGAAGAGGCCGGGCATGGTGGCTCATGCCCACCTCGGCCTCCCAAAGTGCTGGGATTACAGGCATGAGCCACTGTGCCCAGTCAAGCGTGTGTTCTATTGTCCAGTGCTGTCTGTGTTTTTTAGGACCCTAGAGCACAGTCCCAGTTTCCCATGGAAATTAACAGAAGCATGTATATTTCTGCTGCTCTGGCCAGCTGCTGCTAATTGCTCATGTAAACCATGTGTCCTCGGTCAGGAGACCGAGACCATCCTGGCGAACACGGTGAAACCCCGTCTCTACTAAAAATACAAAAAAATTTTAGTAGAGACAGGTGTGGTGGCAGGCGCCTGTAGTCCCAGCTTCTAGGGAGGCTGAGGCAGGAGAATGGAGTGAACCCGGGAGGCGGCGGAGCTTGCAGTGAGCGGATATCATGCCACTGCACTCCAGCCTGGGCGACAGAGAGAGATTCCGTCTCAAAAAATAAATAAATAAAAAATGAAAATAATAATAATTTTGAAAAGAACATATAGGCTGGATGCAGTGGGTCGTGCCTGTAATCCCAGTACTTCGGCAGGCCGAGGCAGGCGGATCACTTGAGGTCAGGAGTTCCAGACCAGCCTGACCAACATGGTAAAACCTTGTCTCTACGAAAATACAAAAATTAGACAGGCGTGGTGGCAAGTGTTTGTAATCCTAGCTACTCGGGAGGCTGAGGCAGGAGAATCGTTTGAACCCTGGAAGCAGAGGCTGCAGTGAGCCGAGATCACGCCACTGCACTCCCCGTTGGGCAACAGAGGGAGACTCTATCTAAAAAAAAAAAAATGCTGTAAAACACTGCTGCTTGTTTGCAAAAATCAAATCCATCCTTAAAAAAAAATAAAATTTGTCACCCTTGATGAGGGTTAACCGTCAAGATTTACGGAGAATTTACCAAGGGTCAAACACTGGGCCTTTGTTTTATTTTATTTTATTTTATTTTATTTATTTATTTATTTATTTTTTTTATTTTTTATTTTTTATTTTTTTTTTTTGAGACGGAGTCTCGCTCTGTCGCCCAGGCTGGAATGCAGTGGCCGGATCTCAGCTCACTGCAAGCTCCGCCTCCCG